TACCTGGTTGGTGTGGTGTCCGCGAGACGATAGTAATCGATGGTTAGAGACCTTGAATGACATGACGCTAACTCGTTTGCAATGACGCAGATGCATCCATTCTTTTTGTCCTCTCAAATTCTAGCCTTATAAATTCTTCTTCACCTCTATATTACTGTTTATAAATTTATGTAACTGTATTACACTTCTTGAATAATATCCTCGAACACTAATCTCTCGGATTACCGCTAATACTTCAACTATCTCTACTACTATCGGATTTGAATTGACAGTTGCATCTATGTGTTAATGTGATATGGCAACCTGAACGTATGTATGTACGTACGAAGTTGTACGTTGTAACTGACTGACTTTCTTACTTCTCAAGCTGTATGCAACTAACTGGTTTGTGTACATCACCAATGTCATTCCTTTGTTTTGTTTCATTGAATCCCTATTTATTTATTTATTCTAGCCAATTGATGCTTATGTCACACGATGGCGAACTGATCCATATTCACGTGGTTCATATTCTTATGTTGCTGTGGGTGCAACTGGTGCTGATTATGATATCCTCGGTGAACCAGTTGCTTATCATCAGCCCGGCGGTACAGCAAATCCCACTGGTGTAAAACACCCAAACAATCCAACCATTGAACAACAATCTCATACAACAAATGATAGTTCTGCGTCAATCACACATCAACCTCGTATATTTTTTGCTGGTGAACATACATGTCGATGTTATCCAGCTACAGTGCATGGTGCACTTTTAAGTGGTCTACGTGAAGCAGCACGTATAGCAAATTATTATTTTCCAGGTCAAACACCTGTACGTTTGTCAGGCTTTAAATTGCATACTGCACAGAATTGTTAAATTTGGCAACTTGTAAATTATAATTCATTTCTCGCTCTCTCAATGTCAATTCCTCTAGTTACTTTTTTTTCATGTCAATACCATTTTTCTACTGTTCTTCAACCAACTGTAGATTCACACTATCACATCAATCATTAATATGATTATCTTATGTCTTATTTAGATGTTGATGATGTGTATTCACTTTGATTAATAAATACTTTTTCTCTTTTTCCCTCTCTGTGTGTAAAATAATCGTATTCATTTTTATTTTGGTGTGCAATCTGTATTGTAATCAGATTGTTCAGGTTGTATGAATAATAATAATCTTTATTTATCTATCTATCTATCTATCTACTTTGTGTATTGTGTGTGTATATCATCGAGCTTAGTTGTATGTATAATACGAGCTGTGTTGTTGATGTTGTGGATTGGTAGCAGTAGTAGTAGTGATAACTTTTCCATGAATATTTCTTTTATTATGTAAAATGTATTCATTATATTTACTTTCTGCTCTACTCTACTCTACTCTGCTTTGTTTTACTATTGTAAACATATTCTTTCTGCTTTTTATTACTATTATTATTAACATTTTGAAATACAATGAATGGCATTGACTTGTAATTATTCAGTGTGTTGTATTGTGTGCGACTTGATGAAGTATTGAGACGATTGAGACAGTCAGTCAGTCAATCAGATGCAACGTAGAACTTCGTAAGTAAGTACATCAGTTCATGTTGCCATACCACATCAGCACAGAGATATAATTGTCAATTCAAATCCAATAGTAGTAGAGGTAGTAAAGGTATTAGAAGTAATCAGAGAGATTAGGATTAGAAGATATTATTCAAGAAATATGATTCAGTGAGAAAAGTTTAGAAAGTCAAAACTAGAGGTGTTGAAGAATCCAGAAGATTAGGATTTGAGAGAACACAAAGAATAAATGCACCGGTGCCATTGCGGACGATTTTGAGCCATGTCATTCAAGGTCTCTAACCATCGATTATTATCATCTCGCGGACCCCAACCAGGTAGTCGACAACTGCCGACATGACTCAGTCCACTTGTCAATGACTGCATGGATTTGTGCCATGTTTTGGTCTGGCCACCCCTAACTTTCTTCCAACCTACTCCTACACTACAAAACAAAGTTCGTCGAGGCAGTCGGTGGTTGGGCATACGCAAGACATGTCCCAACCACCTCAACTGATGAAGTTTCACCACTTCATCGATTGATCTGCCATCCTTACCTAGCACTCGTTTCCTAACGACAGCATTGCTTACTCGGTTGTCCCACGGTATACGAGCAATGCTTCGAAGACACCTATGATCGAAAACCAGTAACCTACGAATATCTTCTACTCTGATTGGCCATGTTTCACAGTCATATAGGAGAACGGAGCGAACTGCTGCACAGTACACCTGTCCTTTGATTAGAGAACGGATATCATGTGTGTTAAGTATGTCTGACTGACTTGAAGAGCAATGATGCCTGGTGTAGGAATAGGTTGGAAGAAAGCTGTGTGGGGGGGGACGGCCAAACCAAAACATGGCACAAATCCATGAAGTCACTCACTGACAAATGAACTGAGTCATGTTGGTAGATGTAGACTACGTGGTTCGGGTCCACGAGACGTTAGTAATGGATGGTTAAAGACCGTTTGCAATGGCGCGGATGCATTCATTCTTTGTGTTCTCTCAAAAAATCCTAATCCTCTAGATTCTTCGTCAACTTTATCTTTTTCTTTTTAAGTTTATTTCATTAGATTATACTTCTTGAATAATATCTTCGAACCATCATCTTTTCGATTACTTCTAATACTTCTACTACCTCCACTACTTATGGGATTTGAAGTGACAATTACATCTCTCTCTGCTAATGTGGTATGCGGTAACTTGAACTAATGTACGTACGTGTGTATTCAGATCTACGTTGTAACTGACTTGCTCTATGAATACATAGCTGCAAATGAAGCACCAGCCTTGTTTCTAAATAATTCTACAGCTGATGATACACCATCGGATTCGAGGTTACTCTGCATGGTCTTCTCCATTGTGCCATCTCCTTGTGATATGAAAGCTTCTGCTTTTATCGGTTCATCATAAGAGAATGAGAAGACTGTTAGCAGTTTGAACGAGATAGTTGATTACAGTTAAGATGAAGTTGCGGAGTGAACGTTTGTTTTAAGTTTGGATTGATTGGCTGACTAGAAATTTTTAAATCTGTGATCTATTCGAGACCTAATAACATAACATTTTCATTCGATTGTTAAATCATTGAATTTTCTGCTTTGATTTTATACTATCAATTGTATCTTTCCTTTTGATTTACCACTGACATTCGATTTTTTTGTGTGATTGATTTCTGCCTTCTTGTTATTAACATCATGAATTTATTTATTAACGATAAACACATATGTGAAAAAAATTATGATACACTTCTAGAACATTGAGATGCGTTGATTATTTTGCATTTAAAAATAGTGACTAGATAACAGCTAAAAGATGAAAGGGAATAAATAACAAGTTGTTTACTACAAATCATTTTAGTTTGTAACTGTAAGAAGAAAACGAGAACACGATTTGCAAATATTTTAGAGGTAATTTTAAGCCATATTGAATGATGACGAAGTCGGGAAGGTTTATTCTTCCGGCAAAATCATTTTTCGACGATGTTTACGTTATGATTTGCCTTATAGGGGTGTGGAGATTGTCGGGTTACTTTGAAATTATGAATCTGTCAATATTAGAACACCATTAGAAACTGGGTGGCTGTTTTGTCCTGGTGTGGGACTCATTGGTAGAGCGCATCTACGACCATCGCTCTCGAGAATCGAACCCAGGACCTCCGATCTTGCGAGCGAATACTTAACCTTTAAACCACTGACTGAAATGGTGTCCAACGAAACTATGATTTAAAAATTATTTAGTGATCCCAATTTTCGAATAATCGAAAGATACTTTAAATAGGAACTTGATAAATCGTACCAATAATTCACGACAGCATTTCAACGTTAATAATCTGCACGTGAGCAAAACAGAGAGATTTTTTAAGAGAACTTTAATATTCTCAAAAGAAATTAAATGATTGAAAAAATGAGTTTGTCTATATTAATTAGTCAGAGTTAGACATTAACGCCGTTGGGTGTCGGTTCAGTGGTCTAGAGTTTGAGCGTTCGCGCGCAAAACCGAAGATTCTGGATTCGAATTCTATGAGTAGCAAGAGTTGTGAATGTGCACTGGTGATGAGTCAGTCCCATATGGGGACGGAATGGCCTTTACGTTTCTACTGGTGGTCTAACAATGATTCATTCACAATTTCAACGTATTTTAACAACAATGACTTTTAGAAAAGTGCTGCAATATAACAAGCTGAAGGTAAAAGTAATCCAATCAAGCGATAACGAAAATCACCATCGGGATAACGTGAACTACTCCAATTATGGATGGATTACTTCTTATTTGGTACTTTAATTAATTCATAAAATGAAGAACAACTAGATTGTTTGAAGCCTTCTGAAGAGTTTTCCTAAGGATTTTAATGTTTTAGGCTTTATATAAGCTTAGTTTATATGACTATTCATAAACTTTTCGTTGGATATTCATTCCTGCTAACTGCATTAGAACTCGTACAGTATTTAGGTGGGGTTTTTTCTCTTATTCGTATAAGTTTAGTTTGATTGGCCATATTAAGAAGGTTCTGGAACTGTAAAATTAGTTATAGTGCATAATTAAATTTGATTTTCTTTTTTCCCATGTATTTTAAACGACAATGGGATCAGGACTTATCTCAGAAGCAGCGATACAAAGACTAGAAGCATCCATTTTATCAATGATCAGGTCAAAATTGTGGGTTCGCTATGAGGTCGACACATTCGTCATCATTGAAAGGTACGAGCTGGAGAACATCTACAATCAGATCAACAACGTCTATGAAGACATAAAATTCACAATGGAAAAACAGTCAAACAATGAATTATCATCCCTGGATATACTAATCACTAGAACTAACACAGAAGAACTCAAAACTCAAGTATACCGGAAACCGACTCACACGGATCTGATTATCAACTACAGTAACATAAACCCAAGAACTCACAAAATCAACTGCGTACAAACTTTGTTCAAGAGAGCGAAAACACACTGTTGCACATATGAAGCGGGAAAAAAGGAAGAGAAATATCTGATGACTGTTAGGATATTCATCCACTATCCTAAGAGGATTATTGGTCTATTCCTATTGGTTAATTCCTACTGCTCAATTTTATGGTCGTCCTAGATATCAAGGTCACACGCCCCAATGTTGTTTCTTATTGGTTGTCCTGACTATCAATGTCACTTCAAGTGTTGCTTCCTATTGGTCGTCTTAACTGTCAATGTCACAGACTTCGATGCTGTTTCCTATTCGACCAAAATGTATAACTACCCATTATGTGTAACGTTTTATGACCAGGACGCGGTCCCGGATCCCTAGTCGGGGATCCTGATTCTCTTCTGGACTCGGACCTCGTACTTCCTGGATGCTTGTAGAATACAGGTTCTACTTCATATCAAGTCTTCTTATGTTTACTCAATATGGGGGTTAGGATAATCGGATTTGAGTAGAATGTCGTGTCGCCGGATCCTCGCTCTTGTTTTCCGACTGGGTAAACTCGTAATAGTTCAAGCTTATCAAAATGACGTGTTTACGAGCAGGCACAACAATGACTATCCTCCAAACGGATTATCCACACAACTTCATCAGAAAATATCAACAGAAGCGAAATCAAATACATGAATCAACAAACGGATCGTTCTACCATATATATAAAATATATATCGGAAATTACGGCACAACTACTGAAACCATTCGGAATAGGTGTAGCACACAAACTAACAGAATCACTTCAATTAGTCCTATGTACGCCAAAGGACAAAATGAAATAAGATGAAAAACCCAACATCATCTGCAAAATAAACTGCTCACACTGTGAAAACCACTACATAAGACAAAGTGGATGTCCTTTTCAGCTTCATTTGTGTGACTGTCAAGTTACAGTCAAACGCCAGGACAATTCTTTCGTTATATAAATACATGAGGGTAACTCAGTTAGTCTGTGAGTTACAGCGTAGAACTTCGTACGTACGTCGGTTCAGGTTGTCATACCGCATTAGTACGGAGACGCAACTGTCAGTTCAAATCCCATAGTGTTGGAGATAGTAGAAGAATTTCTGGTAATGGGGAATATTACGGATCGAAGATATTATTCAAGTAGTATAGTTCGGTAAGATAACTTTAGAAAGAGAAAGATAGAAACGATGAGGAATTATGAAGATTAGAATTTGAGAGAACACAAAGAGTGGATGCACTTGCGCCATTGCAAACGATTTTGAGCCATGTCATTCAGGGACATGTAGGCAACTATGGACATACATTCGATAAGAACAATGTTGAAATACTAGACAGAAGGAGTACAAATGAGAAGACCGAGGCAGGCGCGAAAGATTGTATTTTGCAAATTTACACTCTG